CGCAGCCCGGCCCAGCGCGTCCCGCTCCCTCTCGAGTTCATAAACTTGGGTCTTCGCCTCGTAACACTGTTCAGCTTCGCATCCGTCGCTCTACTGCCTGGAAAACGGATGCCTTCTTTTCTTGGGCTTTAAATCTGTCTCCTCATTATTTTATTAGGTGCTTGTATTTTGCCATTTTTCATTGTACAAGTGTGATTTATGGCAAAGTCCTCCCTAAAAATCTTGATGTTCGCAGGTTTCTCTCGTATCTCCTTTTGTTGTTTGTGTTCCAAGGTGAAATACGTTGCTGTTTCTGGTTTCACCGTGTGTCTCTTGTCATCCTTCTTGCTCTTTTCTTTAGGCTTTTCGTATATGCCTTTTTCTGAGAACACATCTGTATGCAAGATGCAGGCATGCGGCAGATTTACGGTGCTTCATAAGTTTTCCTAGCTTGTCCTGCGTATTTTTCCTCATAATTCCTCTTCGCGTTTCTGATCACCACAGCAAGCACAGAGCTGAGATATGGAGAACTAAATGTGAACTGCTCTTAGGCAGGGACTGCTCTTTCCACCTTCCCGTGCATTCCACCCCCTCAAATACGCATTTGGACAGAGGCCTTCCAGGGTCTAGCCTGTGGGGGCTACAAGGGGGAGCAGGAGAAAGAGCCACCCACCAAAGCACAGCCTTATTGCAGAGGGGAGAGCAACAACTGGGGGCACAGCGTGTTGGAAATGGACTTCAGCTGAAGGCTTGCAGTCTGGTGTTTTGCTTTAAGACAAAATTGACAGTGCAGAGACTAAATGAACTCGGATACCAAAACACTTCAATCATAGATAGCGTGTTTTTTGTGAATTACGTGACTTGCGTGTTTGGTGGGAGAGAGGTCACAGTTCAGGAAGAAAGCCGGGCCAGTCAGTGTAGTGGTTCTTTACACCACCTCGCTGCTCTCCAAGAGCGGGGACCTGATCCGGGGGAAAAGCTGGGTGGATTACTGTAGTGGCTCTTGCTGTGCTTTGTGTCATCCTGGTGCAGGCCTGTGGGGTCCCCTGGGGTCTCTCACTTACTCCTGAAGTCTTTCCTTATGCCATTCCAGGTCTGGAATTGGGTAGAGGATACCCATCTCTGTTGGCTCTTCAGCTTGACTCAGGCACTTGACAGACAGCTTTCCCTGTCACGGGTACCCGCGATCTGTTTCTCTGGAAGGTTCTCTGCAGTTCACAACTTTTGCAGTGATCTATAGGTTGTTTATGCTCCTAGTAGTCCTCTGTTGTTGTAACGAAGCTTTTCCCGTATCCCGCAGGGCTAACTAAAGTCCATACGCTTACGTTACTGCCAACCAGGCCCAGCCCTGCCAGCTGCCACCGCTGGGTTGACCAATCCCACCCGCCTTCAGCAAAGCCCTGAGCTGATATTTTCAGTGATCCACACCGATGCCAAAATCTCTTTCCAAACTGATAGTGGTCAATTTGAAAGTTAATTTTTGTTTATGGATACTTATTTTTTTCCCCTTTGGATTTATTGATACTGAATTCCTCTATCTGAGGAGCTTGAATAATTCTGTGTGTTGCACATTTTTTCACCTCACCGTTTACCCATTTCACTAGATTATTATGGATGTGTTGAGCCCAGCGCAGAACTCTAATTTATTCCTTCTCTTTTGGTTCCTGGAACAAATATATTTTGCCTGATGTTTTGCTGCGGCTGAATGGGTGGAGAAAATGAGTGGGAGAGAGCGGGATCAGGTAGGTGCTCAGGCATGGTGTACGTTGTGAGTTCAGGCCTGGTCCCTGACAGCTGGAGAACTCCAGCCTGCTACAGGTTTGCTTTCTCATATGATATAGCTTTCTACCTAACCTTGGGTTTGGGTGGGGAAAGGGTGAGTTTTACAGTGCTTCCTGCTGTACCCTTCTTTATGCTTGTCACTCTTATGCTCTGCAGAGCTGTAGGGAAGACCTGCCTGCTGATCAGTTACACCACGAATGCCTTTCCTGGAGAATACATCCCCACTGTGTGAGTAATGGCCTTGGACTTGAGTTGCTTTTTGCTCTGTATGCACATGTCTGTAAAAGTTGGTTTTGTAGGTGAGGAGAAGGCTGTCCCAAATCAGACTATGAACTTCACGCACAAAGAGGATGCCAGTGGTGTGGCTGTGAATGTGAGGAGGGCAGACTATCCCCGCTGGAGCTGTGTTGTAGTGTCCTCTCCTGATTCACTGCCCCCCTGGGTTTTGTATAAAGAGATGTGTGGTTCACAGCAAGATTGTCACTGATGGGGATTCTTCCTTGGCAGGTTTGATAACTATTCTGCCAATGTCATGGTAGATGGAAAGCCAGTGAACCTAGGCCTCTGGGATACAGCAGGGCAAGAGGATTATGATCGACTGCGGCCTCTTTCCTATCCACAGACGGTGAGTGCTGAGTGCTGGGCTTGGACTGGCTTGTGACTGCTCCCTCGTGGGGACAGCCAGGCTTCTTTCCTTTGATGAAAGTTTAAGTTCCTGCAGCTGTAAGCATAATTCTGGTTGTTTAAGAAGTATCACAGCTGCCTTTCTCCTAAGAGGTTGTCCTATTCTAGTCCCTGCTTCGTAATGGTGTTTGAACAGCTATGTGTGCCATAGGGAGGCTCAAGTAAAAGGAATGGTGTGGGGCTGCTGCGCAGCCAAGCCACGTTCTGTATTCCCATTCTCTCTCGGTGGCACAGCTCGCTGTTGGGCTGCACTAGTAGTGTTTCCCTGGCTGTAGCAATTCCTACATGGCCCCCCTACCAGGGGTGAAGCCCATAGCACTGTTAGGTATTTGTGGCTGCAGGCTCTTAACAGGCAGAGCCCTGTATTGTAAAAGAAGATGAAATCATACAAAGTCCATTCCTTCCTTCTCTGAATTAGTTTAGCACCCTTAATGGGGAAAAATTTCTTAGAGCCACAGTCCTTGCTTGTGGGATGAGGTTGTCCTCTATGAGGCTCCCTCTCCACCCTCCCTCCGTTATCTCTAGCTTGTTTCTTTCTACATGTCTGACCCTCTTGTTTCCGCACAGGATGTTTTCTTGATCTGCTTCTCCCTTGTGAGTCCAGCCTCCTTTGAGAATGTCAGAGCCAAGGTAAAGTATTCTCCTTCTGGGTGAAGCAGTGGAAGGGAGGAACCAGGAAAGTCCCCCTGCCCCACCCAGCACCACACCTACAAGCCCAAAATTTCTAGCAGTCATGTTTTGATACGGGGAGGTCATAGTCTGCAGGTTTTAAGAGGGGCCTACTTTTTATTCATTACTTCTTTGCTTAAGTTTTTGCTGTTTTGAATCCACATCTTAAAGAAGATAAGGGATGTCCTAGAAGCTAAAATGCAGTTAAGGGAAGCACTGTGTGCACAGCTGGCTGGCAGTGTCTGTCATGATTACATGTCTCGGTGCCTTGGTTATTACATCTGCACCAATCTCTTTCTGCAGAGCATATTCAGAACTGTACGCAGAAGTATCCTGTTCAGGTGTTGCCACCATGTCAGACAGTAGTAAAAACCTTGTTCCTAACGGTAAATGCGTCCTCATGGTTGCATCTACTGCTATAGCTACTTATCATGCCTCTCTCTTTCAGTGGTACCCTGAGGTCCGACACCATTGCCCAAATACACCTATCATCCTGGTGGGCACCAAGCTGGACTTGAGGGATGATAAGGACACCATTGAAAGGTTACGTGATAAAAAACTGGCCCCCATCACCTACCCCCAAGGTTTGGCCATGGCTCGGGAGATTGGTGAGTCTCATGTGCTGGCGCATCTCCATGGCATTGAGCTTTTTATTTTGGAGTGGGTGAGGGACAGCATGTCCTGGTAGGACTGGAGTGGTTGAGCTGGAGCTCTCTTTCCCCTAGGGTCGGTAAAGTACCTCGAGTGCTCTGCCCTGACGCAGCGGGGCTTGAAGACGGTGTTTGATGAAGCCATCCGGGCTGTGCTCTGCCCACCGCCTGTGAAGAAGCCTGGCAAAAAGTGTACCGTGTTTTGAGGGCTGTGGCCTAGGTGCTGGCTCAGCATGTTGTCATCCTCTGACAGATTGCATATTAGCTGGGTGTTTCTGGAGGGGGCTGGGGATGTGTAGGGCCCTTCATCATGTACGAAGTCAGTGTTTTTTAAATGTCTCTTTGATTTAACGTCAGTGTTGATGTGAAGGGGCAGCGGGGGCAGGAGACTAGCTGGGGGCTGTATAGCCCCCAGGGGAGGTACAATGGGGAAGGCAAGGTAGCTCCTTGGGGCAACAGGCTGTTTTGGCTCTCCTGAACTCCAAGCTGAAAGGGCTGAGACATCCATCCTGTCCTGGAAACACCTGGTTTCAACCTGCAGGTGAAACAGGTGGTGAAGATCCTTGTGGGAGTGGGGAGGGAGCTGGTACGAACGGTGCTGAATGACAAGAGCAGCTGGGAGAGCGGTAGGGTCTCCTTGCCCAGCCTACCGCGGCTAACAGTTAACAAATTGGTGCTCTAGCAGATACGTGCCTGAGACTGTTAAATCATAACCAGCCCCGGAACGGGTTGAAGTAAATGACTTATGAAACTGAAGAACTAATCATTAGGTGCTTTATTGGGTACTAGCCAAATGCAGCGAATGAAAACAGCTCTGTGCAATCAATGTATTTGCCTTTTTTTGTGCACACCCTAGGACAGCGTGGTGCTGCTCCCTCCCATCAGTCTTTAGCAGGGCCTCCCCCCCCCAAATCCAGTCTCTGCAGAGCAGGGCTGTGGTTGTTGCCTCTGTTTTGTTTTTTTCTACTAAAGACAGAAAAGGAAGCAATGAGGAGTCTGCTAACTTCTTTCCCTTCCCACTGAAAGTGCAGGCGGGCTCTATGGATTTGGATGGAACAGGGAGAGCTTCTGAAGGGTTGTGGGGGGGGAATAGGGTTGGAAGAAAGACAGGTCCAATTTCTAATCATCATGTAGAGTGACGAGATAAAACCTTTTTTGGTGCAATAAACATTCTCCATGACGGCGTATGTGAGCTTTATTATATAGCAGCCTTCTAAAGGTAATTTTCTGCCTCGCTTCTCATACAGGTTCCAGCCCTGCTGCCCCTCTTCTCCAGCAAGACTGGGTCTGTGTCATTGTTTTCTATCCAGTTTATATCTATGCAGTACTAGTACGAAAATTAAGGCCAGGTGTGAAATGCAGGTGTCATCTTAGGAGACAAGAAATCCCCCATCAACCATCAGTGAGCTGCCAGTTGTCATAGCACTCTTATCACTCAGCAGGAAGAGAATGCTGTTCACCACATCGTCCACCTCTGGAATCAAACACAGAGAACATCCGAAGCACCCTTCAAATTGTACTAGAAAAACAAGCATCCCAAAAGATATGCCTTTGACCTCTACATGTAATCAGAGCAGGGAAGTATCTCTGCCCCCAAACTGTGCTTGATGCAGTATACAGGACAGTGTGGCTGAGAGTTGGACATCAAAAAGTCCTTGTTGTGATCAAGTGATACTTAGTTCACAGCAAGCACCTATGCTACTCTCCCAGTCATATTTATGAACAACAGAGTAAGTGCATTTCACTTGTCCTAAGAGGAGAAGGCTGTAGAAGAGGGATAAGGTTGATTCTTGCCCTGTCCTCATCAAATGCTTCAGGAATTCAACCACAGCCATTCAACAGAGTTGTGACTTTGCCCACAAAAGAAGCAATGTACCTATGGCTGCGATCTCAATTAGAGAGAAAGCTTGGATACCACAAAAGAGCCCAGCCTGACAACAAATCTACACCACTGACCTGCAAACTTTCCCAGCGGAATCCGATTAATCATGGCAGCAGATTTCTGAGGGTCACTCCAGTTAATTCTCCCCATGTCGGTCATAACCACTGTGGGGTTCACAGTGTTCACCCTAATCTGGGACCAAGAGCAACAATCAATCTAACCAGACTGCTCTGGGAGGAAATGCTCGGGTTCAGCTTTCACGCTTTTTTTCTCTCAGAAAGAATCCTACCTTGTGGGGTCCCAGTTCCATTGCCATTACCTTGCTCAGCATATCCAGAGCACTTTTTGTGGAACCTTCAAGAGAAGGGAAAAACAGGAGGCATTTACACGCATAGCACTTGGTCTGGAACACACAGAAGTACTTCACTGCCCAGAACTGGCAGCCAGCAGTTTGGTGGCTGTGGGTCTCCAGCTAGTCAAAAATGAGAGGGGCGCTGCTAAAGCCACACATACTTACAGTAAACAGCATGGTCCCGCAGAGCACGCTGAGATGCCTGGCTAGAGACATTTACAATAGCACCTGGCACCCCCTGTGCAATCATCTGCCGAGCAACGATCTGGAGGGGAAGCAAAAAAAAAAAAACCCCAAACATGGATGCCAGAATCGTGGCAGGAGAAATCATTATTTCATTCAGTAGGAATCTTGCTGGGCTATTATGGTAGCCAAAAGAAGAAAAAAACATCCGGAGGAAGTAAGTCCTCACTATCTCCCACTTACAAGAGAGAGAATCACAGCAAGAGAGTGAAGGGGCTGTATGCGCAAATTGCCAGGTTAACTCTGGATTACAGTCCCTTTATCCCCACAGTGGACACTGTTCTGCCGCGCAGAACAACTTAGTCACTGCTGTTCACGGAGACACCTCCAGTGGCAATTCTTCCTCACCTGGGAAACATGAAGCACAGCCCGAAGATTCACATCAAGAGACCTACAAATAAATCAAATTTAAAAGTTACAGAGTGGTTGCAGCCCAGGCCAGAGAAGAGTTGTTTTGGCAGAGGACAAGTGCTGCTGGTATCTTGGGAACACTGGTGATACTGTAGAACAGGGACAGAAATGCCAAGCTGACTGGCTAGCAAGAACGATTAGGCATGCTTTCAGCAATAAACCATTCACTGGATGTAAGCTAGTGTGCAGGGGCGGAGGTGCACTCAGGCATCGTCACGTTTCTAGCAGGACTTGGCTTTTCTTCTCTTTGCCACATAGGCCTTCCTTTGTCAAGTTTTTACCTGCTAGTTCTGCAGAATGGTCTTAGTAGAATCCATGCATTTTATATTCTAGTCACAAAATTACTCCTTTATTATAGACCCACAATAGCCATTCTTCATGTAGGGACAAAGCATGACCCATCTTCTCAGAAGGAAGTAGACTCACCATATCCTGTATCCTAAAGCTTAGCCCCAGCTGAAACCATGGATCTTTTGAGGAAAAAAAGATCTTGTATTGTTGCAGTAAGCAAATTTAATTTCCCACTGTGACAGTTTCATACTCCCTTACATGGCTTTGTCTTCGCTATATCTGAATTGGCTTACCGACAACTGCCTTTCAGTTCAGCAGAGACTGAGTTGGAGCTGGACTGGAAGCTCTGAGCGCGATTAACAGCAAAAGGCACTTTTCTCTCCTGCGTAGGCTGGATGGTGTGTGCACACTACCACCTAATAGGTGAAACTGCGGGTTCTGGCTACTCAGTAACAGTGTGGAATAGGTCAGTGCTGGACTTGGTTTCCTTTTGATATTTACAGGGTGAAAGGTGATTATGTAAAGTATTAAAACACAGTAAAGAAAAGAAGGCAGACATAAGCAGTAACAGTCAACAAAACATTGAGAAAGAGAACATTAGGCTTTTCTAAAAGCGTGCGTGTCCGGTGCCCGTGCACCAGCTGCTTCCTTTTGCAAGAGACACCAATTTCTGGAAAGCCTTGCCACGACTTTTGACATTCGCAGTTTTGCTGAGGCTTGGCAGCCAGCGCGTCT